TTGGCCACGCCCACTTCTCTGCTCTGCACGGTGAACATCTGATCATGCATGTAGAACAGCTGATCAGCTGCAGCAGGAAGTTTATCCTGCAGTATGGGCTGCACAAAGGTGCAGAAAATATTTTAAACTAATTTATTTTAAATGCAAATTCCATGCCAATCTTGCGGCTCATCCATCAATCAGCCAATTGTGTGTCATGTCAAATCTTATTTTGAAAAACCAGGATAGAGTGAGTCCGCGATAAACGAACCACGAAGTAGCGAGGGACTACTGTAGTTTGCTGTGGAAGCCATCTTGATATTTTGCTTACAGGCAGACAGATGATGCTACCAGGAGCCTGTTGAGTTACCCGAATGAGAATCTGCATTGCTCCAACCTTCTAACATAAAATAATAACAATTATTATTATTTTGGGAGCAATTTCATGATGCCAGGAATTAGACGTCTCCCAACATATAATTTTGTTGTGATTGCACTAAATTTCTGACGTCATAAGAAATTTTTTCCTGTAATTTTGTGGCTACATGCCGACAGTTCTGTTCATACTTGGAGCTGCCGGCTGTTGGAAAGGATGACTCATTTTTATCATTTATGCTGCCTCACATCCTCGTACCTCTTCACACTTATCCATTCAGAATACACAAAATCTGAGTCCATGTGGGCTCCGCCTGACCGTCTGCTGTTGTTGCATGTGAATTAGTTGTTGCTTTTCAGAGCGGAGCAGACTTTTTACTCAGATACCTGTCAGCTCTCTCTGTAAACGTTGGTGAATAATAAGGGGTCAGCTTTCCAGTTCAACTGTTGGTTCTTCTGGATGAACGTAAAACTTTTCAGCTCTACAGTTCCTCATCCAAATATCAACTCTGGTTGGTCGTTATCATGAAGTCGTCATGCTGTTGTTGCTTTTATCTTTCTGCTTTTCCTTTCGGCTTCTCTCAACTGAGATTTGGCAATTGTTTAACGCCAGATGCAACATGGGCTCAGACCAGCATCCTCAGGATTACATGACTGAGGATGGCACGGTGCTCCAAGTCATTCCCAAGTCATCATAAAGTCACTAATTTACTTGTTCAGTAGTTAGATACTGGGGCCATAATTTCACACAGATTTTCACGTCATATATGTTGAACATCTCTCCCACTTTGAAATCCACCTGCCCCGCGCGGTGAGCGATCGGTGAATCAACACCTCTCGGCCTTGCAGATGAAAGAAAAATACTGATAGCACTGACCTCTCTGGAACTGTTGTTGTAATGACCAAAGTGCCGTGGCTCGAGAGAAAGCTTTAAAAGAGCACTTTCATCTTTTTGAAGAGTGATGCAAACACAACAGGACTTGCATCAGTCCAGTAGAGACGATTCTGACCCGTCACTTTCAATTTAAAGGATTTCACTTGATGAAGTGCAGTAGAAATA